CAGTGCCTCACGCTCTGCTTAGACTGGCACATCAACACCTACAGTGCTACAGCTAACACAGAGCCAAGCACCAACACCAGCACCACAACACACAAACACCATCACAACAACCACAGTGTCAGATGAAGGAGACCAAGGCGTACCGGTACCTCCTGGGTGAAAAGAAATGGGCGATGAAGAAGACATGGCCTCCTCCATCCTCCGACCAGGTGAGGTGTCCCCCTCCACACCGTCACCAGGTGAAGCGTCCCCTCCACACCCCCACCAGGTGAGGCGTCCCCTCCTCACCCCTACCTGGTAAAGCGTCCTGCTCTACACCCCCACCAGGTGCAGCGTTCCCTCCACACCGTCACCAGGTGCTGCGTCCCCTCCACACCGTCACCAGGTGCAGCGTCCCCTCCACACCCCACCAGGTGAAGCGTCCCCTCCACACCCACCACAGGTGAAGCGTCCCTCCACACGTCACCAGGTGAAGCGTCCCCTCCACACCCCACCAGGTGAGGCGTCCCTCCTCACCCTACCTGGTAAAGCGTCCTGCTCTACACCCCCACCAGGTGCAGCGTTCCCTCCACACGTTACCAGGTGCTGCGTCCCTCCACACCGTCACCAGGTGCAGCGTCCCTCACCCCAGGTGTCCCCTCCACACCGTCACCAGGTGAAGCGTCCCTCCACACCAGGTGCGTCCCTCCACACCCACCAGGTGAAGCGTCCCTCCACACCCACCAGGTGAAGCGTCCCTCCACCGTCACCAGGTGGGCGTCCTCCACACCCACCAGGTGAAGCGTCCCAGGTGACGTCCCCTCCACACCGTCACCAGGTGAAGCGTCCCCTCCGCACCGTCACCAGGTGAAGCGTCCCCTCCACACCGTCACCAGGTGAAGCGTCCCCTCCACACCCCCACCAGGTGAAGCGTTCCCTCCACACCGTCACCATGTGTCTTTGAAACATAGGGAAATCATTTGGTAAAAGAGACTAGTAAGGGAAGGCCTGGGGCATTGTCTCAGCTGTGTTCTTCTTTCTTGCTACATCATTAGAGTTATATTCACAATGTCTTCCACAACTGGAATATTCTAATCCAGCAACAAACAACAAAGTCAGGCTCTACAGTGTTGACATACGGGGAACACTCGCCCGTGTGAGTGACTGCCAACTAGATGAATTGAAGCTTAGCATGTTTATCAAACACAAACAAGCAATCGAACAAGCAGGTCAAATATTCATACACACACACACACACACACACACACACGCTGAGGCAGAATGGCGTGCCGCGTCAAATTGTTAAGTCTTTTAGTCTCTTGTAAGACGAAGCAGTTATTGACCTTTTATATAAATTATTCTTGCTCTCTCATCCTTTGGTGTTGACAAGGATGACTAGCGCTGACTACTCCTTTCCTCCTCCCCCTTTTCTTCTCCTTCCCCCTACTCCTTTTCTTTCTTCCCTTATACATTTCTCTCCTTTCCCTAACTCTCTTCTATCTCTCTCTCTTCTCCCTTCCTTTCTGCCTCCTTCCTCCATGCCTCTTCTTAACGTTATGTCACGTTATCCTCTATTTATTTCATTATTTTTAACTCAAAAATAACAAATAGCAACTATAAAAGGCAGACCAATTCCTGTATTCTTAAACAACCTTGAAAAAATTCATCGTAAAACCTGAGAAACTATCGTAGAAAGCTGATACAAGCGAACAATCTAATCCTGTGTGTTGACCTTGTTCCTGAAGTGCTGTTATCTTATGGCTGGGAGAGAATGTGTTCATCAGATGTATGTTGACATAAATTTTCACGTACCATAAGTCATAGTTCGGATGGAATGTGTGCAATGGAAGAGACTTTCACGAAATGTCTTATCAGATAGAACTGTTTATGGGTGGTAAATGTTGTGGTTATGGGCGATAAATGTGATTGATGAGCCGTAATTGTGATTGTTGACTGATTATGTGTGTATGGACGTCCCTTGTGATTTCTAATTGGTTATTCATGTCTAGTAATCAGTCCGTGTGTCAACAATCGATCAGCTTATGCCCAAACACGCCATTTGTGGTTGATCACATGTATAGGAGGATAAATGCTTTGAATTACTTCCTTTATGATGTAAACCTCTATAAATCTTACCTGTACCTTTCTATTCTACACCTGTACCTCTGTAACATTCAAGTTTCTTCTATCGTTCTACACCCCACACCTTCCCCTCTCTACACCCCAACCTTCCCCTCTCTACACCCCACACCTTCCCCTCTCTACACCCCACACCTTCCCCTCTCTACACCCCACACCTTCCCCTCTCTACACCCCACGCCTTCCCCTCTCTACACTCCATATCTGACCATCTTTACACCAGCACGTTCATCAGTCACTAAGTCGGCTCACTTGCCTACAGACCGCCAAGGATGTGGAGAATAATGGTGGAACACGACCAGGCACCTCGACCCCAGCCAGCGAGGTGTGCTTCATGGTGGAGAGCCCTTATAGGATCCTTAAGGTGGGTATCCTGTGTGTGTGTGTGTGTGTGTGTGTGTGTGTAAACAACCTGATACATAAACAACATTTAGTCTTCTCCTTAAATCTGATTTGTTGTGAGTTTTTTATTTTTTTAGTGTTCTCTTCCCATTCGATTTTCAGAAGTTGAATAATTAATCTCTCTCTCTCTCTCTCTCTCTCTCTCTCTCTCTCTCTCTCTCTCTGCCCCTTAGGTGGCAGCCAAGGGGGACCTCGTAGAGTTGGAGCGCCTTTTAAAGGGTGACCCTGAGCGTTTGGGCATGACGGACAAGAAGGGGTGGACGCCCATGCACCACGCTGCCGCCCACAACCAAATCCACGTCATCACTTTCCTCGTTAACCACGGCGCAGGTGATCAATAAGGACGGGGAGAAGGAAGGGTGGGAGGGAGGTAGAAAGGAAGGAAGAAAGGAGGTAGGGAGGAGGATGGGAAGAAAAGGGAGCCAGAGACAGGAAGAAAGAAGGGAGGAATATCGGGAGAGGGAACAGAAATGAAGAGAGAATGAGAGAGTATGAACGATTAATGACCATCACAGTCACGTCAGGTTAATAAGTGAAGGACATGATAATTGGGTGATGATGGTGAGGGTCGGCCGTGACGTGTCTCTGAGCCAAACAATGCCACTAACAGGTGACTAAGTTATCTCTGCTCGGCTTCTTTATACACAGACCACGAGATCAGCCATGACCTTGTACTGTAAATATATCGATCATCATCTTCCCTCACTGACAGTTTGTGAAAAATAAGTAATAAGACACCGATATATATATTTGTATGGTGATATGAGTGACAAGTTTTTCGCAAGTCGTGATGACGCAGCAATATTTGTTTCCAAGACTAACTCGTAGGTTTACTAAGTAATTTTGTTGGTGCGTGTGTTAATATTAAAGACACAACATATAAACATTTTAGGTTGTGGTAGCAGAGTGGATAAAGGACCCGCCTCCTGCCTTATGGACTGCCCTCCTGCCTCCACACTGCCTTCTTGAGTACAATGTCCCTAATGGGAAGTTATACCTTAGGGATTCACTTTCACTTTGACACACTAATAGGAAAATTACTTCAGACATAGAGACACATACAGGTATACATGCATACATATTATCGATATTCACAAGCAGCCCCTCCCCCCTCCACCTCCTCCGACACAAACCACTCCACACCCCACACACTCAACCCCTCACCTCCACACAGCACCACTCACCCCAACATACCTCCACTCACTCCAACACACCTCCCCTCACCCCAACACACCTCCCCTCACCCCAACACACCTCCACTCACCCCAACACACCTCCCCTCACCCCAACACACCTCCCTCACCCCAACACACCTCCTCACCCCAACACACACCTCCCTCACCCCAACACACCTCCCTCACCCACACTCCCCTTACCCCAACACCTCCCACCTCCCCTCCCCAACACACCTCCCCTCCACCAACACACACCTCCCTCACCCCAACACACCTCCTCACCCCAACACACCTCCCTCAACACACCTCCCTCACCCCAACACACCTCCCCTCACCCCACACCTCCCCTCACCCCAACACACCTCCCCTCACCCCAACACATCTCCCTCACCCCAACACACCTCCCCTCACCCCAACACACCTCCCAACACACCTCCTCCCCAACACCTCCCAACACACCTCCCCTCACCCACCTCCCCTCACCCCTAGTAACCTATGCTTTCTCCCTTACAGACGTCAACGTGCGGGACAAAGAGGGCCGTACGCCGCTGCACGTCGCTGTACTCGAGGAAGTAGAAGACGCTATTAACGCCTTGATAGACAAGTAAGTGTTGAGGACATCTAGAGAGAGAATTACAGTATTGGTAGTAAGTAGCAGTGCTAATACTGTATAAAGAGTTACAACAAAACTGGAGTGTCACAGCGGTACTGTCACACACACATACTATAACTACTCTTGACTTACAGGGAGGCGGACACCAGCCTGACGGACAATGAGGGAAACACACCCTTGCATGTGGCAGTGAACAACAACAAGGTGGGTACCTGACTTACTTGTCCAACACACACACACACACACACACACACACACACACACACACACTACCTCTACAGAATACGAACCCAAACAGTTGGGAGTGGGATGCGAGTCGAGTTACCTGATGGTGTGGCTATTTGGTCAAATCTGTCTGCTGTACTCTGTGATGGAGTGTCGGTAGCATTTGTAAGAAAGTATAATCCGTTTTGGTACCGTGGTAGTGTCATCGCTTCTCACCCTGAACTGTGTGGGTTCGAATCCTACAGCGAAAACGCATATTTTGAGACAATTGTTTAGATACATTATCTTTGGGAAAATATGAAACATAACTATAAAAGTGATAATTTGCTTCTCACAACATATTCCTTTCACCCTCACGACCTTCTACCATCTCCCGTGACTCATCACCAACTTCTACAACATCTCACGTCTTCATGCTACCTACCTGGACTACCTAATTCCTTTCATAACCTCGTCTGCCACCTACCATGATCTCCAACGTGAGTGTGATGCAGATTGCGTCGGTGGAGCGACTGATGAGTCACACAGATAAGGTGGACCTGTACCTGGGCGACCGCCGGGGACGTACCGCCCTACACCTGGCAGCCAAATATGATTACGAGACATGTGCTAAGCTGCTGGTGAGTCTACCTGTATACTTGACCATGGTGAATACCTGGTGAGTCTACCTGTATACTTGACCATGGTGAGTGCCTGGTGAGTCTACCTATATACTTGACCATGGTGAGTACCTGGTGAGTCTACCTATATACTTGACCATGGTGAGTACCTGGTGAGTCTACCTATATACTTGACCATGGTGAGTACCTGGTGAGTCTACCTGTATACTTGACCATGGTGAGTACCTGGTGAGTCTACCTGTATACTTGACCATGGTGAGTACCTGGTGAGTCTACCTGTATACCTGACCATGGTGAGTCTACCTGTATACATGACCATGGTAAGTCTACCTGTATACCTGACCATGGTGAGTACCTGGTGAGTCTACCTATATACTTGACCATGGTGAGTGCCTGGTAAGTCTACCTGTATACCTGACCATGGTGAGTACCTGGTGAGTCTACCTGTATACCTGACCATGGTGAGTCTACCTGTATACATGACCATGGTAAGTCTACCTGTATACCTGACCATGGTGAGTACCTGGTGAGTCTACCTAAATTTTGCCTCATAGTGACCAGTGACCACACACACCATCATACTGACGACTAGTTGACCAGGCAGTACAGGACATCACCTCATTCAGTACTCTCTCTCTCCGACCAATGTTTCTCTCGTTTTATCTCTTCTGTACTTTTCTCCGACCAGTCTCTCTCTCTCTCGACAGTCCTCAGATAACCTTACTATAGACGAATAAGTCTTGTATAATTTGTTCTTCCCATTTGCCCCTAAGTACTCCTGTTCTCTCTCTTGCTCCTCTTATATTCTCTCTCCTTATCTTCTCTCTCCTTATCTTCTCGCCCCTTTTATCTTCTCTCTCCTCATTTTCTCGCCCTTCCCCAGCTGTCCAGTTCAGGCTTCACACGGTGCCCCAACCAGCCCTGTAGTAACGGCTATCACCCTATTCACATCGCCGCCCGAAACGCCTCAGTCGGAGTGCTGGAAGCGCTCCTCAACTACACTGAGAGTCGAGGCTGCGTCAGACAGAGGATGATTACCATACCTGACCTGGAGGGTAACGTGCCCCTCCACCTGGCCGTCCACGGAGGAGAGATTAAGGTGAGGAAAGGAAGAGGAATAAAGGAGACTTGTGAATGGGTTGAAAGAGAAAAGTAGTGGAGTGAAAGAGAGGTAGAGTTGTGAAGAAGGGTTAGGGAATTAAAAGGGGGAGTAAGAGAAGGATTGACATGCAAACAGTAAGCACCAAGCCAGAGAGATATGATATCCATATGACATATTGCTTGCATCTCTCTTAGCCATTAACTGTGATCTTGAACTTTTTGCCCTCTGTGTGACCCTGGGTTACCTCTGTGACCTTGACGAGATGTGGCAGGCGGTGGAGCTGTGCCTGAAGAGTGGGGCTCTCATCTCCACGCAGCAGGACGATCGGTCGACGCCCGTCCACCTGGCCTGCTCTCAGGGCTCCTACGATATCGTCAGGCTCATGTTTACGCTGCAGCCAGAGGAGGTAAAGGGGGGTGGCTTCTTTGTCGGGGGTAATACAGGTGTCATTTCGTTGTTATCATGAGGCTTGTGCACTTAAGAAATAAATTGGTGGTATATTCTTTGGACGTCAGGTGGAGGATAAAGAGTAAAATATATCATATGTGAGGCGGCCTCTGGTGCCTTATGGATGATTTAATTTAAGGATAATCAGAACAACCTTAGTTAGTAAATGTTTGGAAATACAAAGAATAAATCAAATAAGAGGCTTTTTTCCTTTCAGTTGACGATCGTTGACGAAAGACAATTTTAGGAGGAAAAGAGGCGGCAATATTTTTTTAGTGTCCTTTGTGAACAAAATTTACTTTTAGGGTTAGAGGACAGACTCTTGAGGGAATAATGAGACACCTTCATATGATAAAGAGATGTTCCCCCTTTTGGAAATTCTCTGTTAAAGTCACGTGGAAAATCGTCCTGTTAAGTGTAGCAATATGGCGGGGGGGTTCCTCTCCTCTGTAACATTTAAGTAATAAGGAACTTTCCCTTTATGAAACGAGTGATACTGTCTTTGTTGGTGTTTTTCTTTCCGTTTTCACACTCCCTCAACTCCTGTTTTTGGTCACTTCCTGCAGAAGAAGAAGGCATTGGCGACACTGGACGCCCAGGAGATGAGTCCTCTCCACTGTGCCTCCATGTTTGACCACCCAAAGCTCGTCACCTATCTCATCCAGGAGGTAATTCTCTCTCTCTCTCTCGTCTATTACACCTCTACATGTAACCAAGGTCAGATACTGTACATTCAATATTTATTTTTTATTGATAAAAAGAGCATTTTTTTTAAATTATCGCAACGTGTTTTAATTATAAGTTCATTGACTTAATATTTAAAAATTTATTGTTGTCCTGACCAATTCCCTCTCCTTCCCTCATTATCTTTCTCCGTTCTTTTCAGTTCCTCTCACCCGCTCATCTCCACTTCCTTCCTTTCCTAACTTCCTCCGGATCTACCATCAATCCCTCATTACCACATCACCCTCCTTCCTGTGTTCCCTCCCTTGCTCTCTACCTTCCTCCTTCCCATCCTTCATCCCATCCTCCTTAACTAACTGGTCCTGTCTCCTTCCCAGCCTCACCCTATATGCTTCACTCCTTTTCTTCTTCACTTCTTTACTGCTTCCCTCCTTTCTTCCCCACCTCTTGGACTACCAATAATCCATCACCACCTCATCACCTTCCCTCGTCACCAGGGGGCGGAGGTGAACCAGGTGGATCAAGAGCACCGTTCACCAATGCTACTGGCGGCTGCGCACGGCGGCTGGCGCAGTGTGGACGTCCTCCTGGCGAACAACGCAGACCCCTCCATCAGGGACCTCACTGATAAGAATCTGCTTCATGTGGTCATCATGAACGGCGGCTCCCTCAGTGACCTCCTCGCTCTCAACCAAGTCAAGGACGCCTGGGTAAGAGACTACATCCTTCTGCTCACTCAGGTGCCATCCTTTGGCTGTCTAGGAAAGGGGAGAGCAGTGATCATCCCTAAGAGTCCTGGGATGAATAGGGAGTGTCCCTTACCAGTGTGGAGGAAGAAGTGGATATCCTAAGGTTGTGTGAAAAGGGAAGTAATGGGGCGTCCCTAAATTTTCTGAAGGAACATGAACCTTCCCAGGGCTTTCTGAAACCCCACTTTTATGTACTTTACTTTAAGAATTGTGTCAAGTAGCTCAGTGTCAGTGAATGTATCTTATAAAGGAACTTCCTATTAAGTTAATGTATTCTAAACGAAATCACTGACACATAAAACTTTGCCTCATTTCGCATCAACCCCACAGTGGATGTCTCGTCTCAGCGTCATGTTGAACGAGCAGGACTCCCTCGGGTGGTCTCCTCTTCACTACGCCTCTCGGAGTGGCCAGATTAGCTCCCTGGCATCCCTCCTCCGCCTCGGCGCCTCCGTCAGGACGAAGGACAACAGGAACGAGAGTCCTCTGCATTTTGCTGCCAAGTACGATAGTTTAGGTTTCTTGTTGTGGTTGTTTTGGTGGAGGTGCCCGACGTATGAACAAACCTGTGATTTCTTGTTTATGTTAGAGTTTATGGCACTCATGAGGATGGTGATGTTGATTATGATAATGATAATTAAGATGTGACATTGATATGCCAGATGTTTATAAACATGTGCTACTGGTACAACAGATGTTGACGTATAATGTGCTACAGGTACGGCAGGTACAACACGGTGAGGCACCTGGTAGAGTCCAGTAACGGCTTCCTCATCCTGAACGAGTGTAATGACGAGGGCAAGACAGCACTACACATCGCCAGCGAGGAAGGTACACACACACACACACACACACTGCGAGTTTACTTGAAGATGGTTAACGGAGCACGTGACATCATTTAACACCCAGTCTCCCTATCTTACCCTAAGTGTCACGTTATGCCTTGCAGCCTTCTCCAGCTCCCCCACCTTCCCCCATCTCTCACAGCCTTCCCCAGCTCCCCCACTCTCTCCTAGCTCTCACATCCTCCCTCCAGGCTTCCCCAGCTTGCCCACTCTCCCCCCACCCAACCCCAGCTATCGCATCCTTCTTCACTCTTTTTAAACTCTCACAATCTCCTTCACTCTCCCTCAGGTCACACTCGGGTGGTTCAGTTGCTCATCAGTAAGGGGGCGCTGCTCCACCGTGACCACCAGGGGCGGACTCCCCTCCACCTGGCGGCAGCAGGGGGACATATGCAAACCCTCGCCGCAATCCTGGCCGTCCACGCCCACACCCTCGACCAAACCGACAAGGATGGCGTAAGTCTGATGGAGAAGTTACCTGGTCGTCGGGCTACTTGGTCGTGGGGTACCTTGTCAGGGAGTTACCTGGTCGAGGTTTAATTCATGGTTTTAAACTACCTGGCCAAAATATTACCTGACCGAACCTTATAATTCACCTATTTAATACCGTGGACATATTTTACGACCAATATCTTTTAATATATACAATTATAAACACATCTGACCCTTGCATTTCTATGACTCACAGTAATAACAGATACTTTCTGATATACAGTATCTAAAAAGTACTATGATGTGTGTACCCAGAAGGTGAGTCCATACACACGTTTCAAAACATTCAGTATATCAGTCTTACTTCAGGTTAAATGTCACCTGTTATTGATTTTCACCCAAGAAGAGTTTATTACTTTTATTTATGTTTTAGTCGTTCCAAACTTCCATAATGCTCCGATATAAAACAATTTTTATCTTATTTAAAACAAAAGTATTTTCAGTCAAATAAATCATGTGATTTTATTCCCTTCACTCACTCACTCTCTCCCTTCATCATCACTCACCGCCCCTCCACTCACTCACTCACTCTCCCCCTACACTCACTCACTCTCCCCCTACACTCGCTCACTCTCCCCTCCACTCACTCACTCTCCCCCCTACACTCACTCACTCTCCCCTCACTCCTCACTCTCCACACTCACTCCTCTCTCCCTCCTCTCTCCCTACTACACAGAACACGCCTCTTCACTCAGCTGTCAGAGCCAACAAGCCAGAGGTGGTGAGTCAGCTGTTATCCCTGAACTGTAAGCTACTGGAAAATAACGCCAACTGTAAACCCATCGACTGTGCCATCCAGTACAGGCTCTCCGAAGCTGCACTCGCACTCGTCACGCATCCCAGGGGGTGAGTGGGAATGAGTGAGAGGGGTGGTGTAGGGAACAAGTTTGGGAGGGATAGGAAAGTGGTGGGAGACTGAGTGCGACGGTGCAGAAAACGAGTTTGAGAGGGAAGGGAGAGGGAATGAGTGGAAGGTGTCATATACTCTTTGCAGGAGAGAGAGAGAGTGGTGTGTGTGTGTGTGTGTGTGTGTGTGTGTGTATAATAATAATAATAATAATAATAATAATAATAATAATAATAATAATAATAATAATAATAATAATAATAATAATAATACAGTATTAATAATAATAATAATAAATAGTTTATTGAAAGAATATGGCAGCCCAAAAGGCTAAAAATATACAATCAACAGAGATGGGAATGGGTCACTTAATTGACAAATAATATTCATGTAACATAAGCGGTACAAATACAGTATACAGTACTGTATAATATCATGGGAGGTGAAGGTCATTTAACAGGTAATTTAAGCTTAGTAATAGTGCAAAAGTAAGATTGGCTGGGAGTGAACACAATGGTTAACTACGAGTTGTTGGTGACTTTTACAATGGCTGGGATTCAGTTATTCTTGTAGCTGTCAGTATTTGGTTGTCTTGGCTGAATGCGGTTGTAATGTTGAACAGTAATTCGCAGACGTAGGAGCAGGAGACGGTGATGAGGATGGTGCTAAAGCTTCTCCCCAGGTTTTCAGTGAGTTCATGGTGATGATCAGAGAGAGCCAAGAAGGTCATTATGCTGTGTGCTTCTTGATATGTAGAGTAGGAGGAGGGGGAGAGATTAATCTTGAATAATAATAATAATAATAATTAACGGTTTATTGAAAGAGCTTGGCAGCCAGAAGGCTGAAAATATACAATTACATATTTGGGGAATGGGTTTCGAATTACAAATAATATACAAGTAACATAAGTGACACAAATAAGACATATAATAACTAGATGGGGAAAAGCTCAAACTACAGTTCATTTCAACATAGTGACAGTGCAAGAAGTAGTATTTACTGGGAGTGAATACACTGGTTTATCAGTTCGTGCACGTATGGGCTGGATGCGGTTGTGGTGTCGAACAGCAATTCTCGGGCTAGGGATCTCAGGTGGTAGTAGGAGCCGGTGTCGAGGATGGTGTAGAAGCTTCTTACCAAATTTGCAGATGAGGTCGTGGTGATGGTCAGTGAGAGTCGAAAGGGTCAGTGTGTTGAGCGCTTCTTGATATGTGGAGTAGGAAGGGGAGAGAATAATCTTGCATGCCCTCTTTTGCACTTTTTCTAGGTGTTTACGTTGTGTGGCATTTAGGGAGGAAGACCAGGTAGGGGAGGCATAGGTGAGCTTGGGTAGTATTAATGTTGAATAAGCACTAAGTAGCTTGGGCGTGGATACTTCGAGGGACTTGGGGTGGCGGAGGAGGTGGAAATGAAAACTGAAAGATTTGACAATTGCACTGACGTATGCTTTCCAATGTATTTTGTTATCTATAGTGACGCCGTGGAGTTTGGTGGGAGTCCACAACCTGGAGTGTGTTGGGGCCCATTTAGAGGGAGGTGGGATAAGGTCAGAGGAGAGGTAAATGTGCATAACTATGGTCTTGGTATAGCTTGATGATGACATGGTTGTTGGTGGCCCAATTTTAGAGACTTCAATATATTCTGGAGGGTGCTGTAGTTGGGAGCTGAGTTGTGTCACACTGGTCCCAACGGTGGAGTCATCGACATATTTCCAGCGGGCAGGATTTTCTCTCAGGGCATCAATGATAAGGAAGTAGAGCGGTCCTGTCTTGTTGCCTTGGGAGATGCCACATGTGAGTGACTGAAATGTAGAGACAACCCCTCAGAAGCATATGGCTTGGCGTCGGTCACTAAAGAAGTCTGTAAACCATGGTATAAGACTTTTCCGGGACCCGAGGCTTTGTTGAAGATTAAATTGTGGTTGACTAGGTCGAATACCTTTGTGAAGCCATTGAAGGCGATAGCCACAGACATCTTGCGTTTTTCCAAGTGGCAGTATATTTAGTCGAGAAAGCCGACACGACAGTGGGTGGTGAAGGATATTCTCATATTGCCATATTGTTGAGGATCTGGTATGGCATCTGCAATATCGGTATAAGCCCACTCAAATATGAAAATTAATTAAATAATGGGTATTGGAGTGAAGACAATGGGTCGTAACTCGTTTAAGGATTGTGGGTTCATTGATTTGGGCAATGGTGACACATACGAAGTAAGTGTGTGTGTGTGTGTGTGTGTGTGTGTGTGTGTGTGTGTGTGTGTGTGTGTGTGTGTGTGTGTGTGTGTGTATGTGTTCTTCCATAAGAATAATACCTCCTCCTTCACCAGACCATCAGAGGTGGTGGGAACATCGAGTAAGGTGAACGGGTGTGTGTGTATGGCTCTCATCCGCACACTACCTAAGGTTTTCCAAGCTGTCCTCGACCAAGCCATAAAGAAGGCCGAGGTCAAGGATACTTCCAAGAACTTCTTCGTAAGTATACACACGAAGATGGCAGAAGTACATACACAGGCAGGAGCTACATACACACAGGGATAGTGAAGTTCATAGACCTAGCTCGAGTCCACATAGAGACCAAAAATTTACACACAGGGAGAGCGAACATACATAGAGAGACATGTAAAGTAAACACAGGGATAGGAACTTAGAAGCTATATTCACGTATAAGATCCTTCAACATCAGGTTAAGAGTCACTGACATAAGGGCTTTGTATTTATTCTCAAACATATTGTAAATTCACTTGGCTTAGGAACCTCTCTCTCTCTCTCTCTCTGGTACTAACAGAGTTGTCTCCCCTGGTAGGTGAGGTACAGCTTCTACCCCCTCCAGTTGAACGAGGATCAGCTGCAGTGGGAGAGGACCAAACACAAGGACCCCAAGTTCCGCCCGCAGCCCCTCTATGCTTGTAATGTATGATATCATTCTTTACAACACAACACAACGCAGTACACATACAGTGTCATTTATTATTGTGCCGTACAGCAATTTGCAGTGTAACTGTTTAATGTCATATGAGGAAACACAAGACAGCATATTGTTCTCAAAGTGTTATAGCTTTAACCATTGTCTTCAAAGAGTTAAATACAGTATATAACAAATTAATGTCCTTCACTTCAGCAAAATAGTATAATTTATGGATCTGTCCCAGTAGTAAAATCATATAATTTATTTACTACAAATAACAATTAAATAAACTGGCAACTGGAGACTTTGTGTTTTTAAAATCTGAAACCTATGCAAGATTTTCTGAACACCTATTGTTGCTTCTAGTACCAATAGTGTGCATAAGGTCAGGACAGTGTATCACCTGAAGATGATACTTGATTTTTTCTTTAGGCCCCATCTCAATTAACGCATTGTAGGGCAGCGGCATACTTAGGTATTTTATTCTAGCTAACACCAGAGAATTTTATTCAGCTGAGAGACTCCCCTGCCCTACAAAGGGTTAAGAATGAAGAATTGTTTTAAGTACTCTGGGATAAGAAAGACTTTTTCCCTCCAATATTCATCGTCAACAGCGATGGTGGATGATGGACTCGTGACTCTGTTCTTTCAGTGTTAAAAAGCTTCCTTTAGTTTGTGACAGGTTAGATGTACCGGTGTTTTCAATACCTCCCAGTCTTTAGGTAGTTAAGAAACACGTGCATTTGTTCCATGACAGTACAGAATATGACCTTTCCATCCTGCTAGACCTTTGATAGATAATAACAGACACATACAAGTTACAACAGAATAAAAACCTGTTGACCCTCCCTGTTCTCAGTAGACAGTGAAACGTGTGAATCTGTTCCATGACTGTCTTCTTGCTACTGTAGGCAATGGTAGAGAGCGGACGTGTGGACCTGCTGATGCACCCGCTGACGCAGACCTTCCTGGAGATGAAGTGGCAGGCCTATGGCAAGTATATCCACCTGTCCAACCTGTTCGTCTACCTGGTGTTCCTCTCCCTTGTCACCGTCTTTGCTGTCAAGGTTCTCGGCAACAACAGCGCCGTCTCCGCCTCCATCAACGCCACCTCTCGCTACGACCTAAGTAACGACACCGACAACTGGGACCGATTTGTGTATGAGGTGAGGCTCGGGAAGATATATCTGTGAGGTGAGAGTCTGGCAGATTATGTCTGTGAGGTGAGAGTCTGGCAGATTATGTCTGTGAGGTGAGAGTCTGGCAGATTATGTCTGTGAGGTGAGAGTCTGGCAGATTATGTCTGTGAGGTGAGAGTCTGGCAGATTATGTCTGTGAGGTGAGAGTCTGGCAGATTATGTCTGTGAGGTGAGAGTCTGGCAGATTATGTCTGTGAGGTGAGAGTCTGGCAGAATATGTCTGTGAGGTGAGAGTCTGGCAGAATATGTCTGTGAGGTGAGGCTATGTCTACGAATCTCGGGGTTTTATTTCTATACATGTCCCACGCCTGATGTGACTTGTAGAGGTGTTCTTGGAGTGTATCTCGTGCCTGGGTGTACTGAAAGGTGTAAATCCTGGTTCTTGCAGGTGTACGAGACCACTGGATGGATGTATTGTATGGGTGTTGCCATCATGGTGTTCGCCTGCCTCGGCATAGTGAAGGAGATCCTCCAACTCTACCACCACGGGCTTAAGGTAAATAAACACCAGTACAGGTACCAACCACGAGTGACTTTGTCAAATGAGCTCCAGATACCTCATAGATCTCTCAAGTAAATTACATTAATTTGGGACTTGAGAATATTTCTATTGGGACCCAGTCTCTCCCCTCCCCCCTCACTCCTTTCACAGTACCTGACGGAGGCGATCAATGTGGTGGAGTGGACACTCTACCTCACCTCCATCTGCATGGTGCTACCTGTGTTCCTGGGTACAGGGTGGAGAGCACAACAGTTCAACTCGGCCGCTCTCGCCGTTTTCACCGCCTGGTTCACCCTTCTTCTTTACTTCCAGAGGTAGAAGATATTGATAGACAATAGTCAGATAGATAAATAGATAGATTGAGAAATATTTAGCTTAGTTTCAATATATGTACCTGTATGTATACATCTTACTCTACTCTCAGTTAAATGTGATGAAAGCAGTGAATCTTTTAACTCAAGTGTTGTTAAGGCCTCAACACCTCCCCCTCAGGTTTGACCGTATCGGAATCTACATCGTCATGTTCTTGGAGATCCTCAACACGCTGCTGAAGGTCCTCCTTGTCTTCTCCGTCCTCATTGTCGCCTTTGGTCTCGCCTTCTACATCCTTATGTCTCACGTAAGATCCTTCCGATTCTTGTTGTCTCACATAAGAGTGTTCTTCATCCTTATATCCCTATTCTAACTCCTCTTTCTGACCAGAATTTTAATTGAAGTCAATCTCTTTATTCTTCTTGCTCTCGTCCTTTTTTTCCCGATGTTTAGGGTCTCCTAAATTTTCTGCTGTTTACCTTGTGTGGTCACCCGTATATGTTTCTCTGTCCTATTACCTATGCTGTATGTCCTTTCTCTAGTAAGCTCATGTCTTGATAACTACTCTCTCTCTAGGCTGGGTATATCTGTTCTTCATTGATGTCCTAATGCCCTAATTGCCTATCCCTCGGCTTGTTATATACTACCTATGTCCTAATTATCTGTTTCATCCTCCTCCTCCTCCTGGGTGTCCACTTGTACTTGTCTCACATTTTCTATGTCCTAATCTCTCATCCCTCTCTTCTTATGTCCTAAACACTCCTCCCTCCTCCACTTTTGTGTCTATGTGCTAGTCACTCGTCTTTTCTCCTCTTCCTACAGGGTGGCCATTTATCCTTCTCCAATGTGCCCATGTCAATGATGAGGACCTTCTCCATGATGCTAGGAGAGGTGGACTTCCTCACCGTCTTCATCTACCCCTTCTTCCATGAGAGTGTGAAGGACTACCAGCTTCTCTTCCCTCGCACGACATTCGGTGAGTTGCTCTGTGGGTTGACACAAATATGAACAAGGCCCCTTCATCAATATTAGATGAAAGTGAAGTGAGTTAGTAAGACAAAAGTAATTGTTCAACTAAAATAAAAAAATCATCGTGGACCCTGCTTAAGCTGGACAAAATTATTTTAGAAATAAAAGAATACATAATTTGTTGTAAGATAACCTGTCCACCTTAAGCTATCTTAACACTGAATGTTATCTTGAAACTGTATGCTATCATAATCCTGATGCTATGTTATCATGAGGTTATCCAGACACTATAATGTATATATTATCCTGACATTCTGACACTATAAGGTATCCTAACACTATGCTATCATGTTATCCTGACAGCACTGCTCCTGGTGTTCATGATCCTGATGCCTATCCTCCTGATGAACCTCTTGATCGGTCTGGCTGTTGGTGATATTGAGAGTGTTAAGAAGAACGCCCAGCTGAAGCGTATTGCCATGCAGGTGAGAGGCTTATGTCGACTCTCTCTCTCTCTCTGTAGAAATTTTTTGTTTTATTCATTAAGTGTTTGGACCTTCGAAGGATTGTTTCATTCATAAGACAAAAGGAAATTTTGAATTGGAAAATTTCAGTTATTTTCACTTGCCAATACTTTTACCCTGTGTGTGTGTGAGTACTGTACATCTATATTTGTCTTCACTGTTTTGTGTGTGTGGGGGGGGGGGCATGCAGGTGGAGCTACACACGGAGCTGGAGAATAAACTGCCAGAGGTGTTGATCAAGCTAGTCAACAAGACAGAGGTGCTGGTGTACCCCAACTCGCAGTGCAGTAAGGGGCTCTTCCACCACCTCCTCAGCGCCTTCAGCTTCGTTTGTCCCATCAATGAGAAGCGCGGTATAGGTGCGTAACATTCACTCGCCTTACCCTTGAGTTATAAAAGAGAATAACTGCTGTCAAGCGACGAGCGAAAAACTTCTGTAATTTTATTATCTTGTAAGGATTAAAGGGGAATGCCAGGTGAATGTTGACTGCTAGCGCTGGCACGCATTTTATGATGTGAGGGTGTTTCCACACTGAGGCCAGAATTGGACATATTCTGATGCAAATTGTCTGGAGATGGACGAGTGTGACACGACAGTGGATATTATAACTTTCTTAGAATGTGTTGTTAACTTGACTCACTCATTGGGACAATTTGTGTTAGAATACAGTATGTATGGTTCCGGCATTTAGTGAGAAGCCACCCTTTAGGTTTTTCATCGTGTCTGATATTAAAGAAAATTTGTGGAATTTATCCAGTGCTGGACCCATAGTAAAGCATAGTTTATGAGCAGTAACTACAATGTCTGTATTTCTTACAGTATATTTAGAACAGTAGTGGGCTTTTTTCTTAGGTAATATATATATATATATATATATATATATATATATATATATATATATATATATATATATATATATATATATATATATATATATATATATATATATATATATATATATATATTTCAAGTAGATCCACAATGAAAACGTGGATAAGATAAATCTTGATAAAATCACACGGGAAAAGGGAAACAACGGAGCACCTTAGCTTTCGTCTTTATTCAAGACATCTTCAGAGGCAACTGGATTACATGGACAGAGAGAGGCTTAAATATACAGGATGACCTTATAAAACATGAGGTCAGGTCATAATGATATCATCCACTAATCCCTACACCAACACACACGTAGAGGAGCTTAAGAGAAAGGGGTGACGTGACTAGTCAGGTCAGGTCACAAATAAGGGACCCACTAAATAACTATCATACATCTAGATCAAAGGTTTTCAGAGCATTTTTAACCTTGGGCCACTGACAAATAATTTTATGTAACATTATCAGTTTTGAACTGACCATCACTAAGGTTTATTGATTTTAATTCCTTAATCAAACTAGCTTCAACCAGAAGTCTTTCTGTGACACAAGATGATTTAAATACTTCTAAGCTTTTTTCCCAAGCAATGGGATGATTATTATTCCTAACATGAACGAACAAGGCACTGCTTTCAGATGCTGTTCTGATATTGTACTTATGTTGTTTGATTCTGAGCTGCAGTGTTTTTCCTGTCTGTCCTACATAATTACAATTACATTTGCTACATGGAATACAATAAACACTTCCATTTACATTCAAACTTGGGCTATTTCTTATTAACATATTGGTAATGGTTGAGTCATACTTGAAAAAACATTAATATTAAGTAGCTTGAGGGACCGAACTAACGGGACAAATTCATTACGATAGGGCGGAGTCAAAATATTCTTAAGTGTAGGAATTTGTCTGGTTTGAGAGGAATGAAAGGATTTTTTAGCCCTTTTAAAACAACGATCAACAAACACAGAAGGGTACCCGAGTTTTTGTGCAATGGAACGAATGTGTTTCTATATATATATATATATATATAGATAGATATTTAGATATATAGATATATCTATCTATCTATATATATATATATATAGATATATCTATCTATCTATCTTAAACTACTGGTACTAGGAGCTATTACTGTACCACAGGAGAGGAATCATGCTTTGTAAGGTCCTCAATTTAGCAAAGTAGTTCGCTAAATGGAGCAAAAATAATGGAAAATCAATTAAGAAAAAAATTTAACTGAATCACGCTCGATTTAATGAACTAGTTCACTAAATCAAAGGAAAATAATGAAAATTCGATTTAGCGGAAATTTTGATTTAACGGAAAATGGTGGTACAGTAATAGCTCCTAGTACCAGTAGTTCAATATAACTATGTTCTTTGTAGCAGCAGACCTGGAGAGCCTCGAGGGTGGGGGCAGCGAGGACTACCTGTGGGAACAGTTGGAGGGACAGCACAGGCGACTGAGGGACATTTCGTCTGTGCTCGACCAGCAGACGAAACTCCTCCGCCTTATCATGCAGGTCCGCCCATTGTTGTTTGACTGACTAGTTTTTTAGACACACTGAAGAACTTTTTAGTGAGAGAATCAAGTCACTATTGTCAGGTCCTCATCCATATAGTCATGGTACTGTAGTCCCCTATAAGTAAGCTTTATCTGTTACTTATATATTTTGGGGGATTTTGTGAGCTTCAAATCGATCAGTTCATTTAGAGGACAAGGAATGGCTGTGTTTTAAGCACTCTTGTCCACCCAGAGTAGTACAGTCCAAGGATTAGAGACAGTAAGGATGGTTCACTGAGCGCTTGTTTTACCCACAATGCACAGCTCGGTGACGTCACTATTGTAAACACGCATCATCTGGTGACCTCCATTGGTGCCCACGTCTGGTCCCGGGACCAGTGTATCAACAATTATGGTTATTGGTGCACTATACGGGCGCACCAGCAAAGCTCATATCCCAAGCAGAGAGCTCATCAAGTACTACAGGTATCCCAGAAATAAGAAAACTTGTAATAAATAGATAAATACCCACAAGTGTTCTGATAAAATATGCCGAGAACTTGTTTGAAAAGAGTTATTTCTTTTGTATCTCCTTAATTCTGGAATATTTGTTGATATCCAGGTATCTACAAGGTGAGACATTCATCTTGCTATATGTGGACAAAAAGAACTCTGAACATCTTTAATAATCTTGAAAAAATTAAAGTTAAGTCCATTGGTACATGGGTTTCAGGTGTCAACACCTTGCTTGTTTCAAGACACGAGGGAAGATATCTCGGAGTTTCTTAATTCTACGATGTCAGTCAATATCAGGACACCCAGAAGACAGTTGTCCAGAGTACCCTCAGACATTCACCTTGCCTGTCTGGCAAAAGGAAAACCTTTGCATTACTAATACGCTCAAAAATTTAGTTGCTTCGTTCATGTCATCAGCGAAATGCCAGCATCCCCTGGGTGTTTCCTTGTAACATTTTTTTTCTATATCACTTATTTTTTGGAGGACTATGAGAACATAAGGCATTCATTTTGTTATACCTGGCCACAGAAAAGACTTAGCCTTACGAGTATTCTAAAAAAATTAAACAATCAAACGTCAACCAAGGCAAGACAAGGTAGCGCGATGTCAACGAATGGGGCTGAGCTAAAGTTTATGATGTTACAGCGGTGTTTCCTTTCTGTCTTTAGTCATTGGTACAGTCTATCAGCCTGAATTAGTATTTTAGTAATGCTTTGGAAAATGAGGGTGACTGTTATGTAGTATGTGTACAATAGAGATAGACAGACAAAGAAAGAAAGTAAGGAGAGAACTGAAGAATTATCTCCGGACAACGGTTCTTTTACAGAAGATGGAGATCAGGAGTGAGGCGGACGAGTGTGATGAAGGTGTGAGTCTGGAGGACATCGTGCAGGTGCGTCATGTCAACAAGAAGTTTTCCCCACCCTCTGCCTCCTCCAGGAGAGCATTGGTGACCAGGAAAGACTGAGACTTGACTCACATCCTTGTCACAAGTGCAGCAGATCGAAGACACAATACATTTCTCTCTGTATTCTCAGCAAAAGACCAACTCACTGAGGATTCACCTTCTGCACGACTCAATATTTGTGTGTTGTGTGTTATGAAACGTGCGTCATTTGTGTGTTCACTGTCATAAGAAAATAAATGTTACAGCTTTGTGTTAAGTAATAGTGTCAAACTGGACTAGACAGAGGAACCAATAATCTATATGTTAGTATGTGTATATTTGTGTATCAACATCACTCCCACCTAAAGGGGGTGAGATGTACGCACAGGGACCAACTAAGAAGAGGATCTGTGTGTTGTAAGACGAAAAAGACATAAAACTTTAATTCTGCAACTAATACTGATGTTGGTTACTGGAACTATATCTGTTGTTGCTGAACATTTTCTTGAGCAGCCCCAGACCACAGTCAGGCGTTCATCATCCATAAAGAAGTGTTGCCTCACTACTCTACACTGTCCAAGTAACAGACACCTAGCACCTCAGGTCATCCAGCGCCGCACCCACCGTGAGAATTGTCTCCATTTATTATATTCTTTCTTAGAAAATTGTGACGTCTCATCCTTGCACACAGTTAAGTAATGTAAGTATTGTGCTTAAATGTGAAGTTAAAAAAAATCACCCAGCTTATATAGTATTCAGGTTGAGAGAGTGAGGATGTGGAGTGTTTTACTCTGTTTCGTCTCTTTCTTTTTGCTGTCTATATTTAATTTTTACATTATTCTTTTTACCATTTCCTCCCATATGTGATTTCCTTAATCCAATTCATTTAAAAGTAGGGCAGGAACAAGGATAACATATAAGTAGGCAACACTGGGATGTGATTTATTGGCGACCCTAATAATGGAAGCCCCTCGAAATCGAGGATGACCGGCCCAAGACCCACCTAGGCGTGAATTTGTTTAAGGTGTAGAAGCTTTCGCTAACACAACAACAACCACACCCTGAGTTAGCAAACTGCATGGCGCAGTGTCAAGGAATAGTCTGAGAAGACCGGACAACTCGCACTACCTAACAATACCACATATTCTGGGGTAAATCTCTGAAGCTACTGGCAGTATTTGTGTACACCCAACAAAAAAATATCCTTACATTTCTGAGTTAGACAATATGACACAACAGACAACGAATTTTGACAAATGATCTTGCTTTTCCTAATGTGGTAATACACTACTGTATAATGCAACATTAGTGCATTTTCCTGTCATGTGTCATAATATAAGTTTATTTTTTCGATAAGTTAGAAAAATATTCATGTTAAAGGTGAATACAAAATATGTGAATATACAGTACTGCAAATAAATATCCAAGTGAGAACATATACTGACAACATATGAACGTCATTGTTGTAGTTCATTTATATATCCGTGGCATTTATCTCGGGTTTTAAACTCCTGTAATACCTTCCCTTGCCAAAACAAGAGTGTTACTTATAGATGAGTTGCCAACTGGAGAGGATTCAGTGCTTTGTTATCGATCTTTCAGTCACGTCTCTCAAACCATTCAAAATATTACGACTGTATATTTGATTATATAGAAGAAAAATAGCCATTTCATTGGGTTTTGCTACTGATGTTTGTTGTTTCCATCGTCATAATCCAGCAAAATTCACACCATGTTATGATTGGCTGTTAGGAATAAGCTTCGAATCGTAGATGGTTCACTGTATAAAGGAAGTTGAGGCACAGGTGCGCTGGCAAGACTTGCTATGTTAAAAAAAGTAATCGTCCATAGTCCTTCATATAACTTTGTTTCCATTTTTTATTTAAACTGATTAGTCCATTGTCATATTTACAAGACAGCACAGCTAATAAGGTATTCCTCACCTCTCACAGGTAGTGATAGCAACTGGTGTTGTACTCAGCAGACAGACCAAGGAAGATATTCACTCTGCCATGAAGACAAAGATGGACTCAAGATAGACTAGATAAGAACACTAACCTGGAAACTGTGAAGAAAATGACCTCTGATCTACCTACTCCATGTAACAGTCAGGTCATCAGAGGAAGTTAAGTGCTGGCTAGATTATGCCCACTCATTGACACTCGCAGGTCAAAACAGTGAGTTACAGGGTGTTGTAGCTGTGTTTTAGTAACTTGTCTGACCAAGTTCAGTAGTTTAGAGGTGTGGGGGTGTAGTCGTAGAAAATGACTTGAAATATGTACTGTAGTAACGAAGGAATGACTTATTTTACTCGATGTTTAGGATGAAGGAATGGTTTCAGCTTTTGTTGTTGTCATGGTAACCGTTAAGATCTTTTGAACAAAAATCTTCTTGAATTGAGATTTGCTGTAGTTATTGCAGTAGGTTATTATTTTTTAATCAGCAAAATTTCAGTTTACTCTGCTGAATATTTTTTTTATTTTATCACTGAAAGATAAATTGATTTACAACTCTTTCTACTGTACGTGCTTATTGACTATTACAATGTGTTATTTGTTTTGTTTTATTAATAATGCTGACTAATGATTGGAAATTACTCGATACATTGATTATGTTGTGTAGGTGTGAGGGAGTGACTTAAACATTTGTTATGTTGTGTAGGAGTGAGGAATTGAGTAATTTTACTTCAATCATTTAGGAATGACGGTATGGCCTAAGAATATTCAAATTCTGTAGAAAAGGAATGACTTAAGCTTTACCAAAGTCGGATAGGAGGGAACGGTTAGTGTTTGAAATACTAATAAAATATAAATGTTTATTAGGAGCACAGACAATTAGTCTGTGAAAATAAAATTAATGATTAGACTGAGAATTTTGTCATGCTTATTTCCGTGTATATCTAGGGATAAATAAATGAAAGTTGAGCAATCAGTGAGTCAATGTTGTAAGGTGTATTTATATTGTATTGACAGGCAAGCCAGTTCATAGCCAAATTATAATACTGTATAGTATTTGGTTTGTGAAGAATTCTCTTCCTTAATATTGTTTTTGAGCCTCATCTTTTTAATATGTACGACCAGATTGAATTCCATCAGTCAGGGCGCTGTCTTTAGTCAGCGATTGTGAGGTCACTTATGGTCTAGGTCCTAGACTCTAGGAAGTGGCATAGGCTGCTGGAGGTGACGTCACTGTCATTGTGAAGATTTTACCAATGGTTTAGACAGTTGGTGAGGGTGTTACTGTTATGGTCTAGAATTTCCCTATGGTGTTTGTTGCTGCTAGTGGTCACAAGTTCACAAATTGTAAATCTGAACGTGAAAGATATATTTTCGAGACATAAAGTAATACCATGACAGACATTTATAAGTTTAGCTAAGGCTCACAGCATTTACAGTACATCATCATGTATTGTGCTTTGTACTTTAAAGTACAGTGAGATTGTGCACATTATTTCAAAGGTACCAGTACAGGTGAACAAAGTTAAAAGGTAACAATTAATGTTGGTTTTGTGATGAAGAAAGACCAACTATCCTTTTGTTGGAATTTGAAGTAATCTTTATATTAATTCAATCATCTGAAAACCTTTAGATTGATTCACCTGAAAACCCTTAAATTAGTTAACAAGCAGATACCGGTACATCTGAAATGAAGAACTTGCAGCTCATTAAAATACATACGAATCAAGGAAACTGCAGCGGGCCTATTGGCCCATACTGGGCAGTCCCGTTTACACCCAACCCCTATAACTCATATATCCATCCAACCTACGTTTGAAGCTATCCAGCGTATTCGAGTTAATGATGATGTTTGGCAACTTGTTCCACTACTCTATTTCCAAACTAATGTTTACCTATCTCGCGCCTAAATCTAAACTTGTCTTATTTAAAACCATTACTATGAGTTTGCTCCTGGTTGGATAGTTTGAGTACCTTTGTTATCACCTTTGTTTAGCCCTGACTTCCATTTATACACCTCGGTCATATCGCTTCTCACAAAGGTTTCTCGAGGGAGTGCAAATTAAGATGCTTTAACCTGTCTCTGTACTCAAGGTTCTTAATGCCCAGGATTAATCTTGTCATTCTCCTCTGATTTCTTTCTAGGGATTCTATATCCATTCTGTAGCACAGTGACCAGAACTGAACTGCGTAATCCTAGTGAGGTCTCACAAGCGCAAGATTTAGTTTTAGAATAACCTCGCTAATCTTGTAAATAACACTCCTTTATATGAACCCAAGTACTTTGTTAGCCTTGTTTCTAGCAAAAACACAGTGTTGACTTGGTTTAATATTCCTTTTTATCATTACTCCTAAATCTTTCTCACAGTTGGATTTCTCTGCAACAACCTTGTTTATTTGATATCTGGTTTTTCTGTTACATCTCCCAGACTAAGTACTTTACATTAGTCCACATTAAATTTCATCTGCCATTTTTCAGACCATTCGAAAAATTTGTTTAGATCTACCTATAGTTTTGCGGAGTCCTCATCAGATTTAATTACACGTCCTATTTTAGTGTCATCAGCAAATTTACTTACATTGCTGTCTACGCCTATATCTATGTCTTTTATGTATATAATAAATAGTAATGGTCCAAGTACTGGGCCTTGGGGTACTCCACTAGTGACGTTACCCCAATCGTCTTCAGTGCCGTTAAGATTTGGATAAATTTTACAAATTACATAATATTAACGAATTACACACCAAAAATATCTCCATTTTGTGCATAAGAAATAATGAGGTAAAGCTTGCTCATAGAAAATAGGAGTTGAGATTTAGGTCTTTAGTAAATTTTTATATATTTTTAATGCTTATTCTGCTAATCTGTGAATTTCGGAAATTCGGCCATGGTGGGGTACCAATTAGCATGAATTTGTGAGTTGAGGGTGTACGAATGGGTTAGGTTAAAAAAATAATAATAATAATACAGTATTCTTATCTTGATTAATTGACGATATGGAGAAAATAGGGTTCAGTTCCCCAATGACAAAAATACCCCAATGTTATACCCCAAAAATACGAAATCAGTTAGCAAACAAGAACAAAACCTACCTAACTAATGATAAATAGTTCACAACTACTGTATTCTAATTTACTACCAAACACCTGATTTTTTTAAGAAAATATGGCTCAACTTTCGTATACTTACCTGATGGGAGGACAATCTGGGCTCACCACCACACCACAGTCCTCATCATGCTTGTAAATTGTGGCGACAGTAGAAGCAGCCAGAACAAAATATTTCCCAACCTTGGTAGGGTCATCATCACTTTGTCTCAAAAGTAACAGCCCTTTGTGGTTTCTTCAGTGTTCTGTAGTACGGGTAGCTGAAGATTCAGCAGAATACTTGGATGCCATAACGAAAGGTATAACAAAAGGATAGCACAAATACACATGATAAAGAAAGATCATTTCACACACGCACAATGAATGGCAGATGGACAGAAGCAGGCTTGTGGAAGGGAAGTGGGTTTGATCAGTGAGTGATAATTCGTATCTGCTCCTCTCTTCCCCAAGATGGCCGTCCCAGCTGACTCCTGGTGCTTGACATTTGAATTTTGTGCAGACCAAATTTGTATAAGTGGGGAAAGCTTTCGTATCTCCAAATATTGGTCTCAATTTAGGAAATTCGTGAATTTTTGTATCTCAAACGTTCGTATATCGAGGAATACCTGTACTACAGTATACATGTGACCCTGGTCCCTAATAGCCTTGGATAATGAGGAGTTCAGGAGTATATATCGAAAAATATGTGATGAAAGTTGCCGCCTGGGAACGCATTTCCATTAATTCTTATCGCGAAAATTGACCCGATATTTACAATCATGTTATTCACAATGGTGAGGTATTCATGTATATTAATTGGTACTATTAGCATTGCAGTATACCTAAGCTTCCCATTGGCTTTATTACCTTTATCGTTAATGCAATTGTCTATGAAGAAACAGAAAATACTGTAGTTGGCATTGGACAATATTTAAGTTTACCATTTTCTTCTCTACATTTTCTTTTAAATCCATTGTCATGAGACATGAATATAGTGTTCTTCAAGGTCAATATTTCAATGTTTTGGTATTTGTCAATAATTATTATTTTTTAATTGCCAGACACAATTTTGAATATATACAATAGAGGTGAATTAAATGGCCATAGTACGTATTATGGTTCGCCTGTTTTTACACCGTGCACACTTTTCTTTCTACTATAAGTAAAATTAAGTATTGATGTATTAAAATATATATATATATATATATATATATATATATATATATATATATATATATATATATATATATATATATATATATATATATCTTGATAAAATCACACGGGAAAATGGAAACAACGGAGTACCTTAGCTTTCGTCTTTATTCAAGACATCTTCAGAGGCAACTGGATTACATGGACAGAGAGAGGCTTAAATATACATATATATATATATATATATATATATATATATATATATATATATATATATATATATATATATATATATATATATATATATATATATATATATATATATATATACTATATACATATATATACTATATACATATATATGTACTATATATATATATATAACGAACGGATCCTACTACGAATATTCCTATAACGAACGGTTTTACCTATAAAATTGATAATGCTATAACGAACGAAACTCCTACAACGAACATTATAATTTTTTTTTACTAATTTATTGTTTCTGTATTACAAGTATTAATGATATTCCTTATTTCAAGGGTTTAGATACATATTTATGCACTTTTTTACAATTTTTACAATTTAATATTATATTTTTCAGTGTTAAGTGGTTGTATTTGGGGGCCTGGAACGGATTAATCCTATTACGAACGAATGCTATAACGAACAAGGTTCTAGAACCAATTAGATTCGTTATAGCATACTATATATATGTATACTATATATATATATATATATATATATATATATATATATATATATATATACTCTATATATATATATATATATATATATACTATATATATATATATATATATATATATAGATATATTTATATATACTATATATATATACTATATATATATATATATATATATATACTATATATATATATATATATATATATATATATATATATATATATATATATATATATATATATATATATATATATATATATATATATATATATATATATATATATATATATATATATATATATATATATATATATATATATATATATATATATATATATATATATACCGTATATATACACAGAGGAGGGTGAGATCAAGTCCACAGTGGTCCGGTATAGGTAATGACCCTACTAATCTTCACAAAAGCACCGCAGCGGTAGGTAGTCAGGTCACAGGGTAAGCTTCGTGTTTTCTTTTTCCTTGTGGTTATCAGCATATATATATATATATATATATATATATATATATATATATATATATATATATATATATATATATATATATATATATATATATATATATATATGTACTGAATTGTATTTTAATTTTAAAACTTGAAGTGAAATAATTTTAAACAAATTGCAAAAAATATATTCAGCATCCCATGAATGTTTCTCCCAAAAATCTTGAAAATCTTAAAAAAATTTAATAATTTGTAGCAAAAGGATTGAATTGTGTATGGGGTGTGGATGTTAATGTTAGGCTTTTCCACAGAGGTCCATTACTTAAAAACAAACAAAATTTAAGTTGAAAATATTTTGAGAAACCTTTCTAAAGCCTTTAAAAAAAATTAAATTTAAATAATTCTAGCATGGTGTATTTTCAATATATCTTGGTCTCTTATATTTCATTCTTCTACATTCATAGGAATCGATCACATAATGTATAAAATCTCATTTCTCAAATA